TGTGTGTGTGTGTGTGTGTGTGTGTGTGTGTGTGTGTGTGTGTGTGTATGTGTGTGTGTATGTGCATGTGTATGTACATATATCTTATTATGTTCCCTTTTTCTCATTTTTGTTCCTTTGAAATCAACTGTCTTTACATATAGGCAACTGTCTTTATGTATAAAATAAGGACAAAAAACTATTCATGTACATCAGCAACCATGACCCTGGAAGGATGTCTGCACCTGCTCCTAGATTCAAAACCAGCTGATGTAATTCACATTTTTAACACAATCTGGGCACTTATTATTGATTCTTAAAACAAGCATCATAAATTATCTAGTCCTTTGCCAAAATAAAAATTCCCAAAGTGAGAAACATAAAACTGAACAAAGCCAACAATCGTATAGAAAAGGTTAAAATGAGATTAGTTTTCATAAAGCTTTCATAAAGCTATCCAGCATCTTTTCTTCCAAAGGCTAAATCTATTTTTCACAGATGTGGTCCCTAATCCTCATATCAACTCTGTGAATAAGAAGTATGCATTTCATGCAGCAGTAGAAAGGATAGCAACATGGGAGTTGGATTTTAGTCCTGCTCTGCCAGTAACCAAGCTGGGGGATATTGAACAAATCATTTAAACTCTTTGGGTCTTATTTATAAAGTGGTGGTGTTGGCCACCAGCTAGTTGCTAAAGTGCTTTTCAGTTCTAAAATACATTACCCCCAATCTCATCTTACAAATAAGAGAGTCTGTGTCCTTTTAAAACCGCTACAAAAAATAAGTGGTTTACTCAATATACCAAAATGGATATTTATTTTCAACAAGAAAACAAAAAAGCTGTATTCAGTTATAATGTAAAAATTGATTATACAATTAACTCTCTAATAGCCTTGCCTAAGAAGACAGAACAGAGGTGGGTAGTCAGAAAGTATAGGGTTGATACAAGGAAAATACATTCTGATTTCATGTTAAAAGACATGTAATTCAATAAGGTACCTGCTAAATACAATAATAATTGTTTACTTAAATTGCAAACTACTTACTCCCCACCAGCAAATTCAAATGGCAAATTAATTGATAGTCACCAACAGTCTTGACTGGAAATGGTATAAAACCAACAACTATCAGTACAGACCCTCTACATACATAGGCAGTAGAATCTGCCACTCTGAGCGGCAGTAGGTACCTTGACATGACATCAATGCTGTACAAACATGCAATGTCTTATAAATAGTTCTTAAGAAAACCTGGAGAAGACGAGGACACAACTGGTTTAGAAATAAAGGCTCTCAGTGGCTTCAGCATGTGACAGAAGCCCTGTACTCATGAACTCTCAGAAGCCATGGTTACCTGTACAAGATCAAACCGGGCAACATTCCAGAATGGAATTGCAAGGGGTTCATGAGGATCTATGGATAAATAGCTTATTAAATATAAAAAAAGTTAAAAAGCAACAAATCAAGTAATCCAATTAAAAAATGGGGTATGGAACTAAACAGAGAATTTTCAGTAGAGAAATACAGAATGGCAGAGAAACACTTAAAGAACTGCTCGATGTCCTTAGCCATCAGGGAGATCCAAATCAAAATGACCCTGAGATTTCACCTTACACCCATCAGAATGGCTAAGATCAAAATCTCAAGTGACAGCACATGCTGGAGAGGTTGTGGAGAAAGGGGAATCCTCCTTCATTGCTGGTGGAAATGCAAACTTGTACAACCACTTTGGAAATCAATCTGGCACTTTCTCAGACAATTAGGAATAGTGATTCCTCAAGATCCAGCTATACCACTCCTAGACACATATCCAAAAGATGCTCAAGTACACAACAAGGACATTTGCTCAACCATGTTTGTAGCAGCTTTATTCGTAATAGCCAGAACCTGGAAACAACCCAGATGTCCCTCAGTTGAGGAATGGATACAGAAATTGTGGTACTTTTACACAATTAAAAACGAGGAAACCATGAAATTTGCAGGAAAATGGTGGGATCTAGAAAAGATCATCCTGAGTGAGGTATCCCAAAAGCAGAAAGACACACATGGTATATACTCATTTATATAGACCTATAAGATAGGATAAATATACTGAAATCTATACACCTAAAGAAGATAAACAAGAAAGAAGACCCGGGGTAAGATGATCAATCCTCACTTAGAAAGACAAATGGGAGGTGCATTGGATGTAGGAGAAAAAAAGTAACAGGACAGGAGCCTACTGCAGAGGGCCTCTGAAAGACTCTACCTAGCAGTGTATCAAAGCAGATATTAAGAGTCATAACCAAACCTGCGGCAGAGTGCAGGAAACCATATGAAAGAAGGGGAGTTAGTATGAGGTGGAAAGGATAGGAGCTCCACAAGGACCAAATATATCTGGGCACAGGGGTCTTTTCTGAGACTGACACTCCACCAAGGACCATGTATGGATATAACCTAGAACCTCTGCTCAGATGTAGCCTGTGGTAGCTCAGTAACCAATTGGTTTCCCATAGTAAGGGGAACATGGACTATTTCTGACAGGAACTCAATGGCAGGCTCTTTGACCTCCCCACCCCCCAGGAGAAGCAGCCTTGTTAGGCCACAGAAGAGGACATTGCAGTCAGTCCTGAAGAGACCTGATAAGCTAGGGTAAGAAGGAAGGGAAGGAGGTCCTCCCCTATCAGTGGACTTAGAAAGGGGCAGGGAGGAGATGAGGATGGGATGGTGGGATTGGGAGGGAATAAGAGAGGGGGCTACAGCTGGGATACAAACTAAATAACCTGTGATTAATATTAAAAAACTAAAAATTACTATAAAAAAAGAGTACATGAAGTTGCAAGGATATAGAAATGGGGTGGATCAGGGAGGAGATTAAGAGAGGAGGTAGGCGCGATAGACATTGGAAACAGGAGAAGATAGAACAGGACAAGAGCCTACCCCAGACAGCCTCTGAAAGACTCTACTGACAGAGGTATTGAAGCCGAGGCTGAGACTCAGCCAAACTTCGGGCAGAATGCAGGGAATTTTATGAACCAAAAGGGGGAGATAGAAAGACCTAGAGGGGACAGGAGCTCCACAAGGAGACCAACGGAGCCAAAAATCTGGGCCCAGGGGGCCATGCAGAGACCGGATATCCAAACTAAGCACCATGCATTGGAGAGGACTGAGAACCCTGCTCAGATGTAGCCCATAGGCAGATCAGCCTCCAGGCGGGCTCCCTAGAAAGAGGAGCAGGGGCTGTCTCTGGCAACAACACAGTGGCTGCCTTTTTGATCAGCTCCTCTTTGGGGCTGCAGCCTTACAAGGCCATAAAGAAGACAATGCAGCCAGTCTTGATGAGACCTGATAGGCTAGGGTCAGATGGAAGGGGACTCTCAGTGGACTAGGAGAGGGGCATAGGGAAAGAAGAGGGAGGGAGAGCAGGATTGGGAGGAGACGAAGGAGGGGGCCACAGCTGGGATACAAATTGAATAAATTGTAATAAATGATAACAATTAAAATTTTTTAAAAGAGATGAGTTAGGAGTAAAAACAATCAAAATACATTGTATGAAATTCTCAAAAGTAGTAATAAAATATTAATAAATTTTAAATAAATACATACTAATTTTAAAGACACTTGCAGGCAGAGGTAGCTTACAAAGGAGTAAGGGAAGCAGGATGAAAGGGGAAAAGCGCAAGCGAGCTAGGAGATGGGAGCTGAGCACACCAATTGGGCAAGAAGATGGAGCCTGGGCACCGGGAACAAATACCAGAGACCGTTTATTATTCCAGTCACAGGATCCTTTATTTGGTAGTAGATTTATTTTGCACCACATCCAAGATTAAGCTTTTTTTTTTTTTTTCCATCTCATCCTATCTACCTAAGCAAAGGAGCCACAAAACTTAAGAGCAAAAGCAGTGTATGTGTAATGACCATCCTCAACGACCTCAGTAATTAGATGACAGCTAGTGGTAGGTGCTGTGTGAACAACAAGCTGCAAATAGCAGATGGACCCTGGGACTAGAAGAGGTTTGTAGAAAGTCCCTGGGAAGTGTATGATAAATTGATGTTAAATCTATTGCAGGGACTACTGCAATGTGACATAATAAGGGTCGTTGACTTAACACTTAGGCAGCATGGCTGATTTGGGTAGAAACACAATCATGTCCGTCAATCACGTTTACCAGTTAGTCAAGCCCTCTGTAGAGCCAAGCAGGAGAAACACAGTTACATCAATCTGGTTGTCAAGATTTGATGGAAATAATCCAACTTGAATGAGAAGACAAAACAGACACATGCTTAACACAATGTCTTCATTTTCTAGTTCAGACATTTACTGCCTGCCTGCTGTGTCCCAGGCATTGTACTAGGGAATGGAAATAGAACAATAAAACCCCTACTACAAAATGAACAAGACATTTATACGTACTGCTCTTAAGAGGTTCACAGTGTGTGGAAAACAAACAAATAAATCACCAACAAAAATACAACCCAAGAAATAGAGCAGTGCACATTCTGTCTCCCACTCAACAGACACACAGAGCTGCATCCTCTATATCTTACCCTCGGATCTTTTCAAAGGCATCACTCCCAAAACACCCC